GTTGTAAATAACTGCTGTAATAACCTTATTATAAATAGTAAAAATAAGTTTTTTTGTGTGTCAATTGCCACCCTTGCAAAGCAAAATACACACACACACACACACACACACACACACCAGTTCAAAAAGAACTTGGTCACATGTGACACCTAAGACAAAACTTCCTTCTTCTTATGCCTTCTTGGGGAAGCAAGAAATGGGAAAGTTAGCTGAAAGATATTTCTGGTTCCTGTTCAGGGATACATTCATTTCCATTCTATTTATACTCTCTTTTGGATCCTGAACTAGTTTAGAAAATAGTTAAAGACAGGTAGAATTTACTTAATTACTTAAAATCCTGTAAATCCCCTGGTGGCAATCATGCTGGAGATCTTGCTCTAAACAGGTATTTCCAAAGCTTATTTATCAAGATGTAATTAATATTTTTTTTCTAGAGATGCCCCACTTCCTGTTTATGGTAACACTGCTTTATATTATGGAAGTATCTTAGAATTTTCCCTAACGCTTTCAACAGTGTCAGCAAGCTGCAATGAAGAGAGTCACAATCAACCACATGCTATAAAAATGTGGACAATTTTTAAAACTACAGATCAATTGGAATGTATATTTAAGAAGGAAGCAGAATAATGGCTATCTATCCAGTAATGCTGCAGTTGTAAAAATTCTCTCCCTGCAGCCATAACTCAAATAGCTAACATATTTCCAAACGCCTTACATGATTTATGTTCAGCAAGTGAACCAGCACAACAGGAGAAAGCAGTGAAATTGGGAGACATTCCCAAGGTCTTGTTCACCTTCTCCAAATGAAAAAGAGCATGTACAATACTCTTGAAATTGTCAGGCCCAAAGAACCAAGAACCACACATGGAGTTATTTCTGAGTAGTCTACAAACGGAAATCTTGCCAGACTAAAGCAACTATCTGCAGAATTATTAGATATAGACTGTGAATTGCTAGGGATTGGCAATCCTCTTTTAAACCTCTTTCTGACAAACAAACTTTCACAGTTCCACCGTCTCTTTGCCCTCTTGCAATTCCGGACTTCCCTCACATCAACCATCTGAGCTCACTAGGACACAACCTTAATTAGTATGGTTTTTATTTTCAAATTTTTACATGTCACATATCCACATGCTACAATCAGCGATGGTTTGGTTAAACTTAGCTTATTGAACGACCCATGCTTGGCTGGCTTCATACAAAATGCTGATCCATAAGATGCTATTTATAAACCAGTTACTGAAATCACACAAAATGCTAAACTCAAAGCAACCACAATGATGGCTTAAAGTGTTGCATCAACTAGAATATTTCTCATGGTCAGTATTCTTATGGCTAGTCAACTAGATTTAGTCAACTCTTAAATTATTCCCCCAAAAGAAAGATGCACTGTAGTTAAAGTGACCAACTGTCCTCCTTTAGGGAGGACAGTCCTCCTTTTCTGAGTTCTGTCCTCCCTCGAAAAGTGTCCTCCTACATGTCCTCCTTTTCGATATTTGAAGACTAATCTGCAGGCCTTTTTTTTTTCTCATAGAACGCTCAGAAGGGCGTTCCCGCACCTTTTTTTGATGTTTTTTTTTCAACTTTTGCATGAGCTGTGCTACTCCCCCTATTGGCTTTCGAAAGCCAATAGGAATTGCTGCTGAGCGCGCCAAAACACCCGGCCGGCAAACTTTGCACATGTAAGTTGTCTCCAGCGAAGGCGAATTGGCAGGAACTTTGCACCCCTCCCTGCTACCCAACTACACCATCTCCTAGTTAGTCCCGAAGATACCTGGAGGAGACTGGAGCAGCGACACCACGGTAACTTTGTCTTGATCTTCGGCCCTGCTAGGGCAATAATGGCTGCAGGCGCAAGAGGCAGGGGCAGAGGGGCTGCTGTGGGCAGGGGTGTGAGGGGCAGCGGTGGCCGGCTGCCCCCCATGCTGTGGGAACCGCGGGGCCTGCTCTACATGGGGCTGCGCAGGGTGGGCGGTGATGCTGGCGGGGCGGCTGCAGGTGGGGTGTGTCGACGGTGGGCTGCCCCCCCCGGGGCCGGAGCCAGCATAGCTGGTGCTTTGGGAGTCGCGGGGCCCGCTCTACACGGCGGGGCAGCAGTGCTGGCAGGGCGGCTGTGGCCAGGGGCAAGGCATGTAAGCATAATTACAATATAAAATGTTATGTTACAAATGTTTTTATTATGCATTTATCATATTATAGTGTATTCTGTATTACTGTTGAATGAATAAAATGTTTCTTTTATTTACGATGTTTTTTTCTTCAATTTATTTGTGTCCTCCTTTTCATTGTAAAAATGTTGTTCACCTTACTGTAGTTGAACTGGGAGCTCTGTTGCTAAGCAACATGGTTGTTTTTAACAGTCATATGACTGTGCCAACTTATCACAGTAATTCTGGCGGAAATCATTAAGCGATTCAGCACGGGTCATTAAGCGCAATGTCACATGACTACAACTAGTGACTTTTTGTCGACTTTGCTTGTTGGAAGCCAGCAATGAAGACTGCAAATGCCATGATTGTGGAATGCTGCAACTCATAAATTAGAATTGTGAGCCAATTGCCAAGCATCCAAATCATAATCACATGATTGCAAGGGTGCTGCAACAATTGCAATTCTGAGCAGCATCAGTAAATCTCTTTGTTCAGGGCTGTCACATCTTGGTTGCTTAATGAGCAGTCGCTAAGCAAGAACTACTTGTAACTCTCTGAGTAGGCTAAAATTTCCAATAATCATTTTGTAAATTGCTGAGATAACAAACATTACATTTTTTTTAAAAAAAAAGTCCTTATTAATTAAAATACAATATTTTCTGATTCTTTCCACAGGTCTTAAAATATCATAAATATCAGATCCATTTGCTACTTGATACATATTTTACCTCTGTGGGAACACAAAATCTTTAATATCCATACACTGTGTTAATAATAATATTCCCATATTCGCTAGCACATTCTAAAACTCTGAGGTGTGCATTTCGTTAAAAAAAAAACCATCAATTTCCCCTTCAACTGATAAAATTGATCAAATGCATTTTTCTTACGAGTATCTTTCTTGATTTATTAGAAACCAGGAGTTTTGTCAAAATATCCCTTTTAATGCATTCATATTAATTGCAAATTCCATAGTATTTGCCTGTTTGGTTTGGTTTGGTATGATTTAATTTTAAGATGTAAAGTGTCTCAGTGAACCTACTATTCTGCACAAACCAAACCATCAAGATTTGTACAAGCTAGTGCTTTGTACAAGTTTTACCCAATATAGCCCACTAACCATACAAGCAATACAAGTATTTATCAACTACTAAGAAGAGATTTTGGGGAGTACTTTCTAGGACAATGAAGTTGAGCAATTCTATAAAATGCCACTGAAAAAAAATTATGTTTCCAACATCTAAAAAGAGATCTTTTTCTTCTTCAATTACTACTCTACAATCTTATTCTACAATTACTTCCCTCGCATATTAGTTAGGAGTGTTTCAACACAACAGTTATAAATAAACTGAAGCATAGCTGGTTAGAGTCTTAATTTTCACTGCTTCAGTCTTTTATAGATAGTCCTCAACTCACAACCACAATTGAGCCCAAAATTTCTGTTTTTAAGTGAGTCTTGTCCCATTTTACGACCTGCCTTGCCATAGTTTTTAAATGAATCACTGCCGTTGTTAAGTTAGTAACACGGATGTTAAATGAATCTTGCTGCTCGAAGCACGAAGCTGAAAACACCAGCCTGAAGATGACGAATGGGACTTCGTCGAAACGTCGCCAATTTTACGCGGGAGAAAACCCGAACAACCAAAGACCTATATATATATATATATATATATATATATTATATATATATATATATATTATAGGTTTAAACTACATTACTTGCAGAGATCGTCCTCTTTTAAACGGAATATATATATATATATATATATATATATATATATATATATATATATATATATATATATTGGTTTAAACTACATTACTTGCAGAGATCGTCCTCTTTTAAACGGCCTCTCCCACTGATGCCTGCAGGGATCCAAATGGCAGATCAAGTGAAGAAGCAGCCCAGCACTTAGTACTCTCATTTTGCTGCTTGAAGTACAGATAGCCCCCAACTTACAACAGTTCATTTAATGACCATGCAGAGTTATAATCGGAAAAACAAATATTTCACTTAGCAACATAAATTTTGGGCTCAGTTGTGATCGTAAGTACAGTAGTCCTTGACTTATGACCAAAATTGAGCCCAAAATTTATGTTGCTAAGTGAGACATTTGTTAAGGGACTTTTGCCTCATTTTACAATTTTTCTTGCCACATTTGTTAAGTGAATCACTGCCATTATTAAAGTAATAACAGGGCTGTTAAGTGAATCTGGCTTCCCCATTGACTTTGCTTGTCAGAAGGCTGCAAACACTGCAACCCGTCATACATGTGAGTCAGTTGCCAAGCATCCAGATTTTGATCACATGAGCAAGGGGACGCTACAATGGTCATAAATGTGAAAAATGGTGATAAGTCACTTTTTCAGTGCCACTATAACTTTGGTCAATGAACCATTGTAAGTCAAGGACTACCAGTACTTGTACAGCAAAAAAAAGTACACAATTTAAACAACTTTGACCGTCACCCTTTGTTACGACTGCAGCAAAATGCATCCCTTGCCTAACACTAAAACGATCCTCACCCGAAGTGCAAACAATCCCTAGTGCTTTTCGATGCAGCTCCTTTAAAGCTTCTTATGTAAGCGTCCTTATTCCCTTCCTAATACAATACTTCGCTTAGTCCTTAAACTGCCGCGAAACTTATCCTCGGAGTTGGTACAAGGCGTCTCGCTCCAAGTGTTTGCAGCCGCTTAGAAAAGTCAGGGGAGGAAGGGACTTCGTTGGCATTTCGCCCCGGGCGCTTTCTTCGCCTCAGCAAAGCGACCTTTAAACCCGCAAGTGCCGGGCAGAGCTCCAGGAGAAAAAGGAAAGGCCGAGACCTGGCGGAGAGCCAGCGGGAAATGTACCTGCTGCTGTTGGCGCCGCCGCCGCCGCCGCCGCCGGTCCCACTCCCCTCGGGAGCGCCGTGGGGGACTGAAGCGAAGCGGTGGCGGGGCTCTGGAAGACGAAGGCCGAGCTGTGCAAGCTGGGGCTGGATTTCCTACGGATGGCCATCCGCCTGAAATTGATGCTTTCGGCCCCGTTCATCTTGCCTTCCCTCCTCAACAAGCCAACATGGGGTGCCGTGTCGAAACTGCCCTTTCCTCGGCCCCTACCCGGAGCGCATCCTACCGGCGCCCACCAACGCGCGCTTGGCCGGCTGACGGAGTTCGCCTTAACCCTCCAAGACTCGCAGCCGCCTCCTTGCCCCGCCTGGTGTCGGTCGGCCGCGAAGTCTCCTTGCGCTGCGCGTCTCTGCCCCAGAGAGAGACCCCGCCCTCCCAGCGGGTGGAGGAAGCGGGGCGGGCGCTTCGGAGTCCCCGCCTGCGCCAAAGGTACGCGCGTACCTGGTTAGGGTTACCTGACCGTCACGGAAGCTGCGCGCATGTTCTAAGCGCTCCAGGAGATCTCACTTGGGAATGGAGGAGGTGAGTCAAAGACGGCCCCGCTGTCCCCCCTCCCCAACTTAGGAAAGTTTTGCGCTGGCTTTGCTCCTCCCCATTTAATGGCCTTTCTCGCCACAGTTGTTAAGTAAATCTGGCTTTCCACTGACTGATTGTAAGGTTGCAAAAGGTGATCACATGACCCCAGGAGCCTGCAACCACTGTAAATATGAGCCAGTTGCCAAGTGGTGACTATGGGGATGCTGCAATGGTCATAAGTGTGAAAAATGGTCATAAGTCAGTTTTTTCAGTGCTGTTGTAACTTCAAATAGTCACTCAATGAACTGTTGTAAATCAAGGACTATCTGTACTTTAGCAGAACATGTAGCTTGAACACAGCCTTTAAATTCAACAGCAATTAGCCCTAAGAAAGGCTAATGTTGATTGGGATTCGTGGAAGGAGATTACCAGTTAAGTATTTAATATGTTTAGGTATTTAGTTTATCCTGTTTGAGGGAGGAGCAGTATAAGCTTATTGACCAGGGATTTTCTGCCTGGGTTCACACTTGGTCTTAAACCAGGGTATTAAAAAAAAGGGGGATGGGGCAGAGTTGAACAGATTGGAATTAAGGAGTTAATTTGTAGTCTTAAACCCACTTTAGGCAAAGCCAGGGATAGTTCTTGAATTGACAAAAGCTCTGCAGTTTTATGCTAAGCCATGATGGTTTAATGTTGGTTTATCAAATAATCCACAATTAGCTGAGCTGATAAAATGTAATAAACTATAAGTTACTGAAGTCCCTGCTATTTTCTTGGCAAGATTTTCCAACGGTGGTTTGCTATTGCTTCCTGGCTGAGAGAAAGTGATTGGCCCAAGGTCATCCAAATGGCTTTGTAACTAAAATAGGACTAGAACTCACAAATCTCCTGGTTTCTAGCCAGATGCCTTACACAAAACTGGCTCTCTGTGTTTCTTTATTGCTTCACTTTCTTCCCCCTCCCACCCCCCACAGTAGTAGATCCCCCATCTTTTCCTTCAACCCTTCCCAGCTGATCCTGTCCAAATGTCACAAAGGCATGGAGAAAGGGAGGTCTGATTGATGTAAAGCCCAGGTCATGTAAAGACTTGCTGCATTGTTCAAATCCAGTAGCTGAGGCATAATGTGATGGGGTGAAACAGAAGAGTGATCATATAGATCAATGCTTCCCAAACTCAGCAACTTTTAAGATGTATGGACTTCAGCTACCAGAATTTCCCACCAAGTATGTATCAAGGTTATCTTAAAGTTGCTGAGGATAAAAAACACTGATATATAGCCAAAATAACCACTGCAGTAGCCTTTATAATATTTTGGAGTGTCATATTAATATCAGTTTAACTTCACCAATTGCTTCAGCTCAATCATAATAGATTAGGTTAGCTAACTATATTCAGTAAGCCATAGTTAAAGCAAGCCATGGCTTAGCACAGTATGTAAACCCAGTAATTTTTCTTTCTGTCTGAAAGCAGAAAATGCAACGTATAAGGCAATGATGGTGAACCTTTTAGAGACCTAGTGCCCAAAAACCACCCCACCCACTCCACCCCTGCCCCATCCCCCTACTATGCCCCTGCCCCACCCGCCCGCAGGACCACCCACTGCCTCCACGGCCCGCCGTAGCAGATCGCCCAGGCGGCCCGGCAGTTTCATGGCGGCCATGCCCTCTGCCTGCGCCCCCGCAGCATCATCTACACGTGATGGGGCGCAAGGGTGGAGTCTTGTCCCTGCTGCCATGTGCTTGGCTGCGCTGCTCTGTGCGGGCCGTGCCTGGGGGTGACTCTCCTCCGGGGGGGTGCTGGTGAGGAGGGGGCCTGGGAGGAGGCGGGGCTGGGGCAATGACACACATGCCCACAGAGAGGGCTCCGAGTGCCACCTCTGGCACGCGTGCCATAGGTTCGCCACCACTGGTATAAGGAATGAAGTTTAGTTTAGATCATTTAATGACCATTCACAGTTACCACAGCACTGAAAAAAGTGACTTATGACCGTTTTTCACACTTATGACCATCACAGCATGCCCATAGTCACCTTATAAAAATTCGGATGCTTGGAAACTGGTTCATATTTATGACAGTTGGACTGTCGCTGGGTCCCTGGGTTACAACCTTCTGACAAGCAAAGTCAATGGGGAAGCCAGATTCACTTAACAACCACGTTACTAACTTAACTACTGCAGTGATTCATTCACAGCTACACTTCTACCTGTGTCATTGCCTAGAAAAAATCTTTTATGGTGACACAGAAATATTGGGATGAAGAATCAATGTCATAAAAGTTTTGTAAAAGTTATTTATGAAACAGTAAATCAAAATTTAATCTGTAAACCAGTAAACCAAATTTAGTCAATCTGGCACTAGCCAAAACATGAAAACTACATGACAGTTAGGTACGCATCCTAGTATAAATTCTCGCCCTAATAGGAACAGCTATTCCATGATACCTATAAATACCTTTTGGTTGAATTTGTGGTATGTCTTATTAATTTTTCCATCCTAAATTAGACTATCTCTGATTTCCTACTCTGGAAGTGACATTTCAAAAGCCAAAATGGTAACTAAGCAAAATTCCTAGACTGTTGTTCTTTATGCTTCCTAATAGTCTTTGAGCCACCTAATTAGCAAAATATTTTACTTATATGAATTTGTTTACTGAATTTATACCCTGCTTTTCTATCATTATGATTCCAAGGTAGCTTACAACAATGGATGTATACAATTAAAAATATTCTTAATAAACATAATTAATATGCACACAGTCAATATGCTACAACAGAGTTCCCCAACGTTTCTGGCTCTGTGAACCAGCAGGGGGGAGGGCAGTGATGAGATCCAGCCAGTTCGCACCACTTCAGCAGAACCGGTAGCTAATTTTTTGTTGCCCAGGCCCAGAATGGACTTCCAGAAGCAGCATCCACACAGAGAACCAACTGTTCACATATTTGAATCCCACCACTGGGGGAAGGGATGGTTCGCGCAAGTGACCGGCAAGCGCCGGTGCATGGGCAGCTCCATTTGCGCTAGCGGCATACACGTATACCTGCCGTTCATGCAAATGAGGTATGTGTGAATGCATACTCGCCAGCTGTTTCCACAGCCCATTTGCAAAGCCTCAAAGCCCACTAGTGGGCCATGGCCCACAGGTTAGGGACCCCTGTTCCACAACACGGAATTTTTACTGAGTTTATAAATGCATTGAAGAGACAACCTTGAATGTTCATTAGTACAATTTCAGAAGTTGCCTCATAGATTGATTGTAACTCCGTAGCTTAGGAACATGATAGGGAGATGGATTATTGGCTTTTTAATTTAGGCAATTTATTAAAATAGTAATAGCAATAGCATGTGTCTTATATACTGTCCCATAGCATTTTATAGCACTCTCTGGGTGGTTTACAATGTCGGCATTATTTGCATATTGCCCCCAACAGCAGGGTCCTTATTTTACCAACTTCAGAAAGATGGAACACTGAGTTAATCTTGAGCCCCGTCAGAATTGAACTCCAGTCTGTGGCAGAGTTTTTCTGAAATAATGCAGTTAATCACTGTGCCACCAGGGTTGTTGTTAGCATTCTAATAATGCCAGCAATATCCTTGAGTTAACAATCTCTTAAACTTTCAGATAAGGGATAATAACCCATCTTCCCAACCCTGGCCTCATAGCTTTTTTCCCCATTATTGTCCCTCTTCTTACTTTAAAATATAGATGATCAGGCTTAGTGGGATTCTGTCTTAATAATAATAATAATAATAGTAAAGTTGGAAAAAGGATTATAAAAATACATGAAACCATTCTTTCAGCTTCTACTAGTAATAGTAGTAAAGTTGGAAGGGACCTTGGAGGTCATCTAGTCCAACCCCCTGCTCAGGCAGGAAACCCTACACCATTTTGGACAAATGGCTGTCCAGTCTCTTCTTAAAAACTTCCAGTATTGGAGCATTTACTGCTTCTGGAGGCAGGCTGTTCCACTGATTAATTGTTCTCACTGTCGGGAAGTTTCTCCTTAGTTCTAGGTTGCTTCTCTCCTTGATTAGTTTCCATCCGTTGCTTCTTGTCCTGCCTTCAGGTGCTTTGGAAAATAGCTTGATTCCCTCTTCTTTATGGCAGCCCCTGAGATATTGGAATACTGCTATCATGTCCCCCCTTGTCCTTCTCTTCGTTAAATTAGACATACCCAATTCTAGCAACCGTTCCTTATATGTTTTAGCCTCCAGTCCCCTAATCATCTTTGTTGCTCTTCTCTGTACTCTTTCTAGAGTCTCAACATCTTTTTTACATTGTGGTGACCAAAACTGGATGCAGTATTCCAAGTGTGGCCTTACCAAGGCATTGTAGAGTGGTATTAATACTTCACGTGATCTTGATTCTATCCCTCTGTTAATGCAACCTAGCACTGTGTTGGCCTTTTTGGCAGCTGCAGCACACTGGCTCATATTTAGGTGATTGTCTACTAGGACTCCGAGGTCCCTCTCACAGTTACTACTATACTACTATCTTCATAAACTCTTGTTCAGAACTTGTTCCTTACCTGAAATCTTTGGTATAATATTCATGCCTGAACAATTCTTGAAGAGTTTCCTGCCTTCCAGAGTAGACAGAAATGCAGGCATGGCATAGTTTCATCTCATCAACTGAAACAGTAAGTACAGATACATGCATTGTCTTCATGATAATGGAAGATTCGTTAGATGTGTGTTAAAGAATGAGATGTGCTTATGGAATGAGGCTACTGAATCATAAACTAACAAAAGAGCTGGCTTCATACAACATGCTAAATCATGAGAAAGCTATCCAAAGTTAACATTAACACAAGCTTAATGTATTGTGTGACTACATTGGCTGTGGCTACTGAATCATAAACTAACAAAAGAGCTGGCTTCATACAACATGCTAAATCATGAGAAAGCTATCCAAAGTTAACATTAACACAAGCTTAATGTATTGTGTGACTACATTGGCTGTGGCTTTATCTGATCTTAAATTATACAAAACAAAATGATTCATTCTATTCAAATAATTCAGTTTTCTGCAATCCATGATAACACCGATCCATAGCTAACCTGTTATCTGGGCCGAGCCATTACTATTTTATTTTTCTGTTTCCATCCCATTGTGCTCTTTTTAAAAGCAAATCCTCAATCTTGTGGCATAAAATAAGCCATATACCTTAGTAATCAGAAATATTCTGAATGAAAGTACTCATCAAAGTACTTTGGTTGATTTGTAAGGCTCTAAATGGCCTTATAAATGGCAAGTATCCATCACCACCACTTCTCATATAATGCCACCAGCAAGAAGGGTCCCGGAAATATTTACCTTCGAAGAGCCTTCTCAGTTTTTGCAGACGCAACAGGAATTCTCTGCCCTTGAGGGGTGTCATGCCTTGTCAGCAGTTCACCAATTACTGATGAAATAGAGTCAGTTTTTCACTTCAATCTTTTGATACATAAGCTCTCACTGATTTTGAATGGATATAGTTTAATATTTTAATGTCTAGCTTTATATGTCCATATGTTCTAATCTTTGTTGATTGCTCTGTATATATGTGTATGTATGTATGTGTATGTGTGTGTGTGTATATATATATATATTCAAAATTTTGTGGCTGACAAAGAGTTAGTGGGAGACTAGTGTAGCTATTTCAGGCTCATTTGCCCTCATCAGCTAGTCACACCCTTCAGGAATATATATATCAGTTTTATTCTCACCTGCTCAAGGTTGGCTCAGCCTTCCATCCTTCTGAGGATGGTAAAATGAATTCCCAGATTGTTGGGGGCAATATGCTGATTCAGTAAACCGCTTAGAGAGGGCTGCAAAGCACTGTGAAACGGTATATAAGTCTAAATGCTATTGCTATATTGAAAGTAATAATATGGGGTTAGGGCTGGATTTTGCCTACTGTTCTTTCCAGCTGGCCAGATAAGGAAGGGACTAAAAGGAACAATTAAACAGTCTGCTGAAGTCCTGCCTTTCAATGGAAAACAATTCCTCCCCATTTTCTCCTGCTCATGAAAAAGGGGATTCCTGGCAAGAGGAACTGGCATTACATGAGCTCAGGAGAAGGAGATGACAGGTTTGTCAAAACAACATTCAGGCTATGTTTAATCTGTCCCCATCAGGATTAAGGATTAGCTGTGTCATTTTGATCGTGGCTTGATCTGGACTTCATCTGTCTATCAGCTGAAAAATCCAGCAATTAAATATATGCCATATATTTTTCTGTTTACATATCTGAAACCTTAGTAAAAATAGAATGAATGAAATTTGCAAATATTAGCTGGTGAGGTATTGCAAATATCTTGTGAATTCTGATGTCCTCTGGATTTTTGCATAGATGTTCTCTCCCTTTCTTCATTGGCAGAGAGCTTATGAATATGTAGAAACTCATTAAAGCAGGGACAGCACAGTTCAGTGAACAAAAGATGGCCCATTTATTTAGTGGGATACTTATGCATTACATCATAATTTTAATTGGACATAATGATGTAAGTAAGAATCATATATAAGCTCCTAATTTAATTTATTCCGTTCTGGAGTGTCTTAATTTTCAACCATTCAAGCTGAATTATATCAAACATGTACAAGCATATGACTCCCTCTCAGAACAATTCATCTAGGGTTGTCTAGAGGTATAAAGACTAGAATGGAAGAGGGTTTAACATGGTAATTATTTCAGAGGTTTCATAAGCACATGGTTCTGGAGTTGAGAATTAATCAATATACTTTCCTTAAAACCAGTGGTTGCAACACAAGAATTCCTAACATTCAATCTTTAAATCATTGAGCACATCTATTTGTCTTCACCATCTAGAAATAACCATTCAACCTCAAAATTTTATAACAGTATCAGTTCCGTTTAGAAATAGCCAACCTCTACAGCAGGCAGATGTAAGTATACAATCATGTTTAACACAAACTTCACCAGCATTTCAAAACCATTTGGAATATAACACAATACATTTTTTTGTGGTCGATTAGTTAAGAAACATTCATGCAAAGAGAAACATTCAGAGATTACAAAAATCACAAAATGTCAGGATTTAAAGTATTTTGAACAAAGGATCGGTTGAATTAATCCTTTAACAGTCAAACCAAAAGGTTTGAGATGCAAGATCAAAAACTAGTGAGGGTGCACTTCCATTTATTCAGAGATATGGTACACAAAGCCATACCCATGAATAAATTTTTAAAAGCTAGATTATTTTTATTTCTCCCCCTCAACAAACTCACATAGCTGGTTATCAGAATTATTCCACTTGGTATCAAACACTTATGACAAATTTCAAAACAGTTTTAATAATGAAGTCAAAGTTTCAACAAAACAAGTTATTTATGCTGCAAAATATAAAAACTTGCCACTGCTGTTTTGTTTTTTTAGTGCATAATAATGCAGACTTTACTCCCCTAGTCATAACCGACTATAGAGGTGGTGCTCATCTCCATTTCAAGGGCTGTTGACCCAGTACTGTCCAAAGATGTTTCTATGGTCATGTGACCAGCATGACATTGCAGAACACTGTTTCCTCCCCACGGAAGTGGTACCTTTTTCTCAACTCGCATTTGCTTGCTTTCAACCTGCTAGTTCGGCAGGAGCTAGGTGAAGACGGGAACTCAACCCATCACACAACGCCCGGATCTCAAACCTGGGTTGTTGAGCCATCACACTGCCCCATAATAATGAGCAGCATATTTTCATGTAAAGATGCTATCTGAAAAACAAGGCCCCTATACATCCAGAGTCTTATAGCAAATTAAAACAGCAATCACAGTAATACACATCTATTTTTTTTCTTTTGTATGTTGTCAGTTATCACCATGTTGCCTTCCAATTTAATAGAGAGGATTTTCAAGAGCTGTGTAGAAGGGAAATTAAAATAGACGGAAGTCTTAGGCAATATGGCTCTTCACAAAGTTATACTGGCCTTGCATTTCCAATATGAAGGAAAAGGGAAAGGGAAATCTTCATGAAATAAAAATCCTCTAGCTTTATTATAGATGATTGAAAAGGGTACATGAAATGATGTCATGCAAGCTTTTTATTATATTGCATATTCAGATGCATTCTGCCCTGAGGCCAATGCAATTAATTGCTTTTTTTAAATTTTATACACAGGATTATTTTTTTTTTTTTAAAAAAAAAAAAGTCAGATGCCAGAAAAATGCTGAGTACTCTGTTTTGTTTAGCTTTAACACATAGAAAATTGGAGAAAAAGCAGAGGAACAAAACATATTTTTAAAGACAAGATATAAGGAAGAAAATCACTGTGCTTTTAATGAAGCATCTCAGCACTTGGAACATTAAAACAAATATTTCATAAGGAAGGAAAGATAATTAAAAAATGGAATAGTAGCTGTACAAATCATGAAACAAAAGAACCAGTTACAGAATCATATATACCTTTGTTAGAGATTAGGTAACAACTTGAGGCTTTATTGGCTTTACTGATAAAAGGATAATATTAGACCCTAACAATAAAAGATTTACTCCTCTCCAGTTGTGCAGTTAGGCTTAGTCTTATGTTATTAATTCCAGTAAAATTCAGTTAAGCAAAAAAAAAAAAAAAAAATTGGGTAGAGTATAATCATGTTTAGAAAATACTCCCTTTTGGGTTTTTTCATTACTAAAAGGTTCCTTCCAAAGAATGAATAACTATGATTTTTTTACTAAAAGGCCTTCTGAATACTGTTATTTTCTTTGTAATATTCTGTCATTTTTCTCATTTGAGAACTTTCTAGATCTTGAGTTTTCAACAATTCATCACTTGACATAGAAGTAAAAATCTGGATGTTTCTTTTTTTAATACACAAATTCACCCTGCTACAGACAAGAAAAAAAGTGAAGCTGCACAAAAATCCACATCTTACTTATTGAAAATTGATGTTGGATGTTTCCATGTCCAGCTAAGCCAATTTAAATGTGTGCACATATGTGCAAAATACATAGCAGACTCTCTTCCCTCATCACTCTTTGTATTGTGATTGTACTGTCTTTTTCATCTGTTTCTAGATTTAAATTGGAAAATGAATGCTTGCCTATTTCTGGACTGGACCCATGCTTTCGATATTCAAATGTTTAAAATTATCCTTCAAAATTTTAAAAAGAAAGGCTTGGGAGATATGGCTGACTATATTGTATTTCCAGTATTTTGAATACTCTGGACATTTCTTGAAGATAATAAAGGTTTATTTCCAGCTATGAAGTATAACCCATATTAAAAAAAGAACCTAATATTTTAGCAGTTACTCAGGTATAAGCCCATAATCTGTACAGCGGTAAGTGAAATTTATGTCCAAGCAATTCAATTTTTTTTTTTACTTTTCAGCACTATAGCATAGCATATGTTGTACGATCTATATAGTCACAGCTTGGTTATATGGATCTAACAGATATTGTGAGGTATACATTAGGTCAGTTGAAATCATTTCTTAATAGAATACAAATCAAAGTGAAGGTATGATCCAATCATTTCTAAGCACTTTTAAGGCCTTTTGATTTCACTGGCTAAGAAATCATGTGCTTCTCTCTTGCAAAACAATATGCATAAATTAATTTGCATTATTCACAAGTAAAACTACAACAAAAGTCTCCATAGGACTCTTTTCATTGTTCACCAATATTAGCTGCAACTTCTGTTCCTGGATGGAGATCACACTTGTTCAAAAATATTATCAAGTTTAGGATGACTGTTAAAGTGAGATGAATGGTTGAAGTTCCTGGCACTCTTGAGGAACTCTCAGTTCAGCCAGAAACTTCTGCTCGATGACTAACCGTCAATATAACCCAATGCAAAGTTGGCAATGGCAATCCTAGAAGATGCTGAAATATTCCCTTGCTAGATATGAACATGAAGTGAAGCAACATGGAAGCACATTAAATGAGAGCCATTAGCTCCTACAGTTCTAGCAACAGAGCTATGCATCATTTGGACTGTCGCAGAGAAGTCATTTAAACTCAATGTATTTCCATCTAGTCAATTCCCTATCATGCTATTTGTCACTAGGACACTGGAGGTTGCTTTCAAGTTTGTGGATTTCATTGGTAACTTAAACCACTGTCTCTTGGCAAAACTTCAACTGCTCCACATTACATCAATTGCTGATTAGGCTTATCCTGTTTTTAGCACCTTGTTTTTCAATGATATTTATTATTAGGCACAAAGATGACTGCTTAAACTTCATAGTTTCCTTGGCTGAAGATCCCCCCCCTTCCTTCTTTCCCCTTTTTGGTATGTATTCTAAGAAGGAGCATTTTCTTTAAGATTTGGGGGGGGGGGTGATGTCAAGTCATTCCAGATGATCTGATATCTTTCAGAATGGATGATTTCCCCAGATACCTTACGATTTCTGTCTTTTAATTCGTATCAGCACTGCAGGGATGGAATCAAGGGACCTGGATCTACTTAGCTCTTCCTTATTATAATGTATTAAGGCTATCTGACTCAGAATAAAAATTCCACCAACAGGAGAAATTGGTAACAGTATAACTGAGAGACCCAGTAGAAAGCCCAAAATAATAACTTTAAATCTTGCAAGTAAGCCATCTTGCTTCTGAGCATTGTGCAAAACAATGTAGTTATCCTTCTTTTTCTTTTGTACTCAGCATTTCTCAAATTTATTGGGGAAATACTTGAAGAAAGAACGCCAAGCCATGCAGAAACAACCTGTGTGCTCTGACCTGAGTTATTTGTTATGGAATGGGCTAGAATAAAAATTGCTGACATCTCTAAAAGCAAGAATCTAAATCTATGTTCTTCAATCCAAGATACAGATCCCACTTTCTTTGCTCAATTCACCACCAAATGCACTAATTTTGATCATCTTATATTCCACCCCACTTGGTTTTACCAAAGGAAGGCCCTAGTCTGATAATACTGGATTTGGGAGTAAAGCAAAATGCATCCTGCACTTTTCAATTATCATAAAATATAGTATGTTTACTTCAAGTTCATTTGAATTTTTTTTTTCTTTTGTCTGGATACCAAACAGTAAAACAGAAAAAAAGCACCAAGTCATTAACTTGCCCAGAAAAAAAGAAAAGGATCCTTAAAACAAAATGATACCCTGAAACACAAAAATAAGCACAAGGAAACAGTTATGCATATATTATTCAATAAAACCCCTTTTCAGGCTTAATCAGGTTGAAGGTATAAAGCACGGGTGTCAAACTTGCTCTGTCACGTGATGTGTCATGACGTATCATGACTTTTTTTGCATTGCCGGGGCTGGGGTGGGTGTGGCCTCCATATGATGCAACTAGCCCGTGGGCTGGCAGTTTGACACCCCTGATATAAAGGAACCAGCAGCTAATACAGTATTGTATAAAACAACTATGTAAACAATGCCAATGCAGCTGAGTGCTGTAGTACCAGTCAAAAGACACAGTTCAGAGAAAATCAGGCATGCCAGAATTCTGTTGAAATCAATGCAGTTTAAGTGCTTCATTGTGTGCCTATTTATTTTAATTTTGGCACACCCAACTTCCTCTGCATCCCCCCCCCAAGTACACATTCATTTCAATGTATCTTCTACAATGTTGTGCAATAAAATAAACAAAACACCAGGCTGTATTTTGCCTAAGGTGAGCGATCTCCAGATAAAATATATACATTTTTAAATTTAAAAATAAAAACAAAAACAAATCCTAACTGAAAAAAAACAAATCTCAATGTAAATTATCTCTATATTACTTTTTTTTTTGAAGTAGAACAAATCCATCAATGCGTCATTTCTAATAACCATACTTTTTGGTGCAAATATGTCAGGAATAAAATAAAATGCTATTTGAACCTCAGAAAGAAATATGGAGTCAGTAGCTTGAGCTGAATGGCAAAATAAGATTTGTAGCGTACTTTCTTTGCTTTACTTCGGTAGGAATCTAGGTTCCCAGCACATTAGTAGTCCTAGCCAAACAACTGGAAGGAATAAGTTTGACTTCCATTGTGTAGTTTTGATCAGGTGATGTACACAGAGGAACCTTGAAGATTTTCAGCAGTCTGGGCACTGTGCTTTAAGCTTTTCCACATGCCTTCCTTTGTTAAGACTGTACATGGTGTCTGGACTCAGCAGTGCAGCAACAAGGCAGTCATGCTTGATACAAACTGTTCCTTTGCTGTCAGAACTCGAATTCAGTCCATGTGGTGAGATTTCCCCACTCTTAAATTGCAAATGAAGCACGATGTTAAGGAGGAGGCTTAAGTAGACAGCTGACAGGGGTATATTGAGAGCTGGAATGTGGCTGTTCTTCTGGAAGAGCTACATCAGGACTGGAATGAAAAAGCAGCTATTTAAAATACATGTCAAAGTAAGAAATGTGCAAAGAAAAAAACTGTTATCATGGAGACCGGTGACAATCTGCACCTTCATGGTATTTTAATTATTCTGCATATACCTATAATTCTTAAATTATATGGAAGTAACCATATGTGCACATAGAAGACAAACACCGAGCCATCAGTGCCATATTTACAATGAAACCAGAAGAAATTATATGATGTTAACTTAATTTAAACAGCCTTCTAAACCATCTTGGAATAGATGGGAAGGTTGATTTAGCCCAAACGTTCAAAATTAGATGTTTCTAAATAAGCATTTTTATTGCTGTTGCTGTTGTAAGAATTCCAAGGAATATCAGCAATTTTGAAATCTGTTATCCATATATTGCAACCAAGAATCATTTTTGAAAAAATATGAAGTGGCAATAGCTTTATTTGAAATACTTGTTGACATATAGATTTTGGCTAGCAATCTTCAGACCCTGTTCTACACTGGAAGATTTAACATGTTCTTCACCAAATAATACAGCTGTAACAATTATTTTTAGAGGAAATTAAAACACTTTAAATTAGATGTTAAAAAGACAAGGATGCATGGAAATGAAATGTCTGCTTCAGATCTGTATGTTATATTTCTATGCATTTTAAATTATTTGCATTATTTTGGATTTATTGGACACAGCTTTTCAGAAGGACATTTATGGGTGCAGTGATATCTTCTAGAAGCAATTGAGTCACACATTAATTTTGTTCTGCAAAACTCATTGATTCTAAGCCTTATTTTATAATTCTGAACTGTGTATCAATGGATTAGGAACTAACAGGATTGCAGAAATAGATAATTTATGACTACAAAACTATCTTCGCTACAAAGTTGAAGTGAAACAAGTTCTCAATGATTAATCCAGTGATCTGACAAATTCTCTTTTATATTTGAACAAGCATTTTGCACCAGATCCTCTATTTAGAGCACGGGTGTCAAACTCGATGGTGTCATGTGACCGTATTGTGACGTATCGTGACGTTTTTTGCCTTTGCAGAGCTGAGGTGGCCGTGGCCTGTGCGTGAAGTATCTGGCCCGCGGGCCACCAGTTTGACACACCTGATTTAGAGCATTTTTGGGATGTAGACTGTACGTCTGTGTTTAAAAACTTAATTTCTTTTTTTCTATTACTCATTCATTTTCTATCAAAATGTTAATTTTGCAACATGAAAATAATATATCTGAAGTATTGTTCGGTATACTTTTGTAGAACTCTTCTTTGTCTTTCCTTTTTTCTTTCTTGCTTACATAGTAAAAACAATACAAATAGACCTATTGCAGCAAAACTTGCTTCAAGGAACTCTATAACCATTTGAAAATCCAGTTGGCAACATGGATCACACCATTTTAAGACTCAGGTGAAGAACCCCCAGGCTGTATATGACCCTTGATTGCTGCTTTTCAGTAGCTAATATAAATAGGAAACTAGCAGTCTGGGGCACGTTCCCACTGACTTAATTTTAGCAGAGCTAAAATTAACATGCCATAAAGTTGCAAGTTTAAAAGAATAGAGGGAAAACAATAAAAATGTATTAATGTAACAAGTTTGCTTTTGTCCAAATGAGAAAGGATGATCTAATTGCACTTTAAAATCAAACAAATGAAGATAAAAATGTAGGATAGTTATCAAGAACAACATAAAACCAATTAACAATTTTACAGTACAAAATAAGAATCTTTTCAAATTGCTTCAGATCGCATCTTCCAATCTTTCCTGACATACTTTTTTGTTCCATCCATGTGATGTGCAGAAATATGGTTTTCTCAGATGCAGATATACAGAATGGAATTACAGCAATGAAATAAATGTCTGTTAATAGTTAACATTTTAGCTGAGGCTTGCTTGATGAGTGACCCCAGAGCAATTAGCTATCTTGCCCAACAACTAAAAGAGACTCTGTCCATTCCTTATGAAACCAAAAGTTATTTTGAAGGAACATACAGTCTTCTCTCAGTAGGTCATATCATATCCAAGGTAGGCTAAAGAACTTATTTTGTAGTTGCTTAAAATATTTTGAAAAAAATATATTGAAATAATAAACAGAACAGCTAAAAAGCCACATACAACCAGGCACCATATAAATACAACGCCTAGAAAAGCCCAGTGCACACATTCCAGAGAGAGAGAAATTTCCTGAGAATGGGCTTGGAAGAATAAACCTTTGGTTTGATGGCTGACTCAGATTGGATCCTATATAACAGCTAAGATTCTGGAAGTTTAATTACGGAATATAGTCATATAGCTATTGTGCAGATAAAATATAAAGCATTTGCCAAACAATAGGATGTCTTACAATCTACTGTTTTGAAATTCTCAAATGAGACTACAGTTCAGTATCATGCCTAGAGGTCTATCAGTTAGATAAATAGCTGTGTAAATTTGATTAATAAATATATACATTTTTGAAGCAGCAGTACTGTCCAGGTTTGGAAGCAATAAGCTTCCCTGAGCATTCATGCAGGAAAACTGCAGGAAATAGCTCATGCTGGAAAGTCACATTTTAAAGCAAAATAATCCTTTGAAGTATTTTAGAACTTTCCATATATGAGAAGACCTGAAAAAAAATCAGGTTAGGGACAGATCGTAATGGAGAAAAATCTAACTATGTGGTCTCCAAGAGTCAACAATAACTTAATGGGACATAATCAGTTCCATTTACGGCATGGCCTATAAGCATGGAAATAGTTAGAGAGTCTATCCACAAAGTATCTCCTATTCCATCATTAAACAAGAACATTGCGCAACATTATCTGACTCATGACAAAAGATAAGAAAAAGAATGCATTACTCCAATTCCCCTCAAGGATTATGATAGAGCCACTTTATCTTAGAAAAGAATCAAGTATTTCTAAACAAGATTTCCAACTCATTAAATAGTGTACACATATCATTTTCTCTGCATCTTTGCAAACAATTTCATAAAATGAGTAAACAATAAAATGTTTAACTAGTACTGTACCCTGAAGTTGCACCTAATTGTATCATTTATTGACAAAGTTTTAAAAAAACATAAAATCGGGCCAGGGAGAAAACACTAGAAGATACTTCTCCTTATAGTATTTCTCAACCAATGCATTCCAGATGTTTTGAATTTCTAGGTAAAAATTAGAATGGTGTTCAGAAATAAATCCAAGAGAGTGGATAACAATAGATTGAAGAAGATTGCTGTGCAGCTCATCTAAACACCATATTCTTATTTTTTTACTTTTATTTGAATTAATAAATAAGAATAAAGATAGTCACTGAATTTTTAGATTACAAAATTTGTGGTTGTTCTGATTCACTGATTAGATAGCTGGGATTAGAGAAAAGCAATACCTATTTCCTATCCTGACATAATGATTTTTTATTTTAATCCTGCTCTGGAATACTTTCCCAGATGACTTTTCTAGCTTCAGTTTGAATTTATCTAATGAAGAGGCACCCACCATCTTTCTGTCACTGGTTCCATATTATTAGGATTTTTTTTCTGAACATTCAGCTAGAATCCATTTTTCTATAACACCACTGTTCCTTGTTTGAGTGTGTGCGGTTATGTTTGCTGTTGTGCAATGAAGCAAGCAGTTCTGACCTGGCATTCATTTCCTTGGGTACCATTGTAATTCTCCTAGCAAGCTTTGCCAAACAAAATGAGCTTGTTGTGACTGCAGTGTTTAATTGATGTGTGTGAGAGAGAGGGGTGGGTGGGTGGGAGAGAGAGAATTTGTTATGATTTGTTAACAGAATGTTTAACAAAGTAATTATTTTTTCTGATAGAAGAAAATGTTTGTGACTCAGGGTTGAACTGTTGGGTCCTTAGTGCTCTCTTAGCTTGGTGGTTTTCTTGGAGACATTTCATTACTAAACTAGAGAACATCATCAGTGCATTATTTTGAATTTAACTGTTATAAAAATGTATAAAGCAGTGAAGGTCATTGAGGACAGTGTCTATTGTCTCATGTTCCTGCATATCTAAAATAAAGACTGGAGATATTTTTTTTCTTGGCATGAAGTTACTTCTTAAGATTAAAGATGGGTGGAAACCAATGGGCTGGGCTTTGTCTTCCTTCCCTTTTGGTCTTTTGTCAACAGGAACAGATCATTCTAACTTCTGTTATCATACAAAGACTGCATATGACCCCAGTGGTCAAGATTGGTGAACCCTGATCTAACACTGAGACAGGTTAATGCATCTGTATTCTTTTCAAACCAACCATTCCAACTATGTCCTGCAGGTAAACTACAGAACTCTCAGTGAATTTCAAGGAGCTCTGTCTCATGCATCTATCAGGCAAAAGGATAATATGTTACCCAAAAATTATTCAGCCCAGATATTAGGCTCAGTGTGAATTCAGTACACCAGAGAGTAGCTAAATCAGCTATTTGGCAACTTTAAGTCTTGTAGACTTCAACTCCCAGAATTCCTTAGCCACAAGTCTTAAAAGTTGCCAAGTTTGGAGACCCCTGAACTAAATAGACAGAGCCTGGCTGAAGGCACAATTAATTGTTTATTATAGCGACACAATATGCTAGATGATAACAAAATAATGGGACTGTATCTTGCATGTAGATGGGGCTTGGAATTTAAGGCTTTGTAGAGTTCAGGTTTTCTTTAAATAAAACAAATGTGAATCCCATTTTAAGCTTGGCTTGTGGCTCACCAGTCTTTCCCATTTCAAAACTGACACACAACTGGATTTCAGTGGTGCATCTGTCTGAGGCTTTGGGAAGCACAAAAAAGACCCTTTCATCTTCCACTTCAGTTCTAGTGATGTAGCAATAATACATTTAAATGTCATGCTGAGATCTAGGTGTGCCTACGAATTTAAAGCAGTCACAAGGAGTCCAGTTCCAGTTAAAATTATAGCCTAGAGGGGATAGAAGCAATTGGATTAATCTTTTCATCCAATTTTGTTTGGGAACAAACAAGCCCTTAGGAGTTTGTTTATTTTGGCCAGGGCAACAGGAAAAGCCAGCATCCTTTCTCATGGTGCAATCCCTACCCGGCTCTTTCCACGTTTGCTTCATGTTGTGCAAATAGGAATCTGCCTAATACCATCTCAGACTGGTCCGTCAATCTAAACCATACCTGTTCTGACTCTCAGTGGCTTTTTATGATTCCACAGGCTCAGCCCTGCCTGGAGAGGCCAAGCATAGAATTTAGAGCAGTGGTTCTCAACCTTTTTAACGCCGCGACCCCCAACCGGTCGTAAGTCGAGGACTACTCAACCGGTCATAAGTCGAGGACTACTCAACTGGTGCAGCACCGTTTGCAGAATGGGACTTTTGGCAGGCTCAGCAGAGCAGAGACAGCCTGGACAATTCCTATTGGCTTTTGAAAGCCAATAGAATTAGACTCTATTCAAGAGCGTCTATTCTATTGGCTTTCAAAAGCTAATAGAATAAAAGGGAGTAGAACAGCTAAGGAAAAGGGGGAAAAATGGCAGACTGCGTTGTTTGGCGACCCCCGTGAAATGGTTGTTCGACCCCAAATGGGGTCCCGACCCACAGGTTGAGAACCACTGATTTAGAGCCTTCTCACCCACAGCATATCAAGGGGTCCTTGGTGCTCACTGAGCTTTTTTGATTTTTTGCAGTCATTTCATTACTGTGCTGATGATGTTACCTAGCTTGGGTAATGAAAGGTCTTCAAAGAAACATCCCAGCTCAGAGAGCACCAAGACCCCTCATTTCAATCCTGAACTACAAATATTCTCCTTTATGGGCACAGTATCTCCTTTCCCACTCTGTTACAGCCCTTCCTATAAAGGAAAAAGGAAGTATATCTAATCTTCAAGATGCTGTAAGGCAGAAGTGCCCAACCTCTTGGGCACTAGGGACCAGTTCCATGGAGAAAGGTTTTTCTGTGGACTGGAGAGGGAGTGGTTTTGTGTGCTGCCTGCATCCCACGGATGGGGCTTTGCTTGTTTGTGCGGACCAGTTGCTGGCATGCCACGGCCCGGTACCGGTCCACGGCCCAGGGATTGGGGACCCCTGCTGTAAGACACAATCAGAAGCAACACAAAGAGCTGATCAGAGTGGTATGTTTATTGCCTATTGATAGGAATCTCGCCAGAGAAATGCACAGAACTTTTAGATAAACCCTGCAAAGCTTTGGGAGGATCACCTTTCAGCCATTTTCCTCCCCATCAGTGATTCAAGGCTAGCCAACCGTTTTACTCCTCCCCTCAAGTCAGCTCCAGAATGTACTACGGATGCTACTTAAATAGCTTCCTAAATTAAACATTTAACGGTCTAATCCAGTGTTATTTTCAACTTTGGCCATGTTCAGATCTGTGGACGTCAACTCCCCAAATTCTCCAGGCAGCCTTGCTGGAAAATTCTGGGAGTTGAAATCCACATATCTGAAAATGGTTACGGTTGAGAAACACAGATCTAATCCTTGTAGATTCCTATTTGCTTACATAGCAATGCTATTTTCTTTTAAAACACAGACACTTTTGCCTTGGCTTCACAGGTAGTCCTCAATTTGCAATCATTCATTTAGTAGCTGCTTAAAGTTACCAAGGCACTGAAAAAAGTGACTGATGACTGGTCTCCACATTTATGACCGTTGCAACATCCCCACGATTATGTGATCAAAATTCAGGTGCTTGGCAACCTGTATGTATTATTTACAACAGTTGCAGCATTCTGGGGTCATGTGATCATCATTTGAGACCTTTTCTGTTGGCTATTGATAAGCAAAGTCACTGGGGGAATTCAGATTCACTTAAAGATCACATGATTCATTTCACAACTGCAGTGATTCATTTAACAATTGGGGCCATAAAAGCTCATAAAGTAGGGTACAACTCACTTAACAATCACCTTGCTTAGCAACAGAAATTCTGGTCCCAATTTGATCATAAGTTGAAGACTACCTATAATCTGTTTGCTACCCACAAGTTTGTAGACTTAACATCTTTGTTTTTGATAGTCTGCATGGGAATGTTCTAGTGGTGCAGGCAAATCTACAAAAGAAATGGCTTAAGTTTTGTAATTTTATCTACTGACAAGTGGAACTATCTTCTTTAAACATGACATGTTAATACATAGTGTTGCATGATTCCTGCAGTCATGCAGGTATGATTAACTGCTTGGACACAGCACCACAAGTAATCTTTCCACATCAATTACAAAACTTTAAATTTGATTCAATTCAATTTGCTTTTTCTGTTTGTTTGTTTGTTTGTTTTAAGGGCAGATAAGGGTCTGCAAACATACTGATAGCAGCCAGTTGGAAGACAGAGTAGAGATTAGGGTTGGGAGTAACAGATGCAAAGAAGGTGGGGTGATGAGAATCCGTATATAGCATGCAGAAAAAACCAAAAGGTGAAGAAAGGAGATTTAGCAGAACATTACCTGACAGTCTGGCAGCGATGCCTCCTGGTTAGTTGTGAGCGGTATGGCGGTAGTGAGGCAGCAGGCTGCTGACAATCTACAAGAGACTGATAAATTAGGCATATACACAAAGAGATGACACAAAAGGTTAGTAAGTAATAAACACACAAGGCAGGTGGTAGAAGAGATTTAGTGAGGAATGCTGCTCTATTTACAAGTCAAGAGGTTAATCGGTTAAAGCATTGATAAAGGCTGACAGAAACCCTCAACTGTTTCAAACAGGAGTCTTATTTTAAAGGTATCCCTGACTTGCTCTGAGTTAACAGCCTGAGTTAACATTGGGCAGATTCAAAGTGTATTCTCAAAGATCACTTGCTAATCTAAATGGTATTTACTATTGCCCTGCTAAGTTATCATCATTTGTGATTCTCGGATTGGTATGGGATACAGAAGGGAAAGAAGATGGATCCTTGACTACAATCAATTGGGTAGTGACCACAGTTTAGAAAGTGGTTTTGCTTCTCTCATTGCAAAATCTAGTAAAAAAAAAAATGCTATACTCGGATTGAAAAAACATGAAATCATTTATATTAGGGGCAAAGGGACTATGATTAATTTCAACTATACTTGAATCAGGCTATCAATAAATAGATTTCTTCCAAGTTCGTAATCAATATCTAAATTAGCCATAAGCATAATTTTTTTGCTTGGTGTTAAATACAGCTGAACATTGTCAAATTCTATAAAGATCTATACTGCCCTCCAATGGCATATATATGGTATGACTGTTAAAACAAATCACAATGGTAAAATAGGACTGTAATGGTGTGTTTAATGACCTTGAGAAGGAAAGTGCTACATTTTACAATATTATTTCACCAACACAACTTGTTGTGTAATTACTCAAAGTGTTGAGTAATACTCTGAGAAAAGTCATTTATATTTCAGCTTTGTAACTGTATTTATAATTATATACTGATGCCTGGAAAAAAAAACACGGCACATTTAAAATGATAAAAATGTTTCATCATCTGAACTCAGTACTCAGTTAAAGAACTTGGAAATGGGAGAATTTCCCTCAGAAAAAAATCTTGTTGATTACTTTAAAAAGTGTAATTGCATTCAAGAATTTAGATGGATGTGTTCAACCACCTTTTTCTCACTAAGGTCTAGGGCAATTGGAGAATAACCTACATAGAGTGCAAAAGGCAATTTATTTATGATTTTTATTTCTATTTTTTTTTTTATAAAAAAGCAGGATTTAAAAGCAAGCTCTAGTGTTTTAGAAAAAAATATATAAATAGTGGCATTTTATATATAAGGACTCTATAAGTGATGTGAGAAGGTTTTTCAGAAAGAATTTCAGTTATTTTAGGATATTATAGTTTGCTGGAAGATTATTTGAATTTGTAAATTGATTTTTTATATAAATGGTGAAATATATATATATATAAAACCAATAATCCTCTTTCATATAATATATTAATATATATTAAAGATAAAACAGTGGAATTCTTACATTCTCATAATGTCAGGGATCATCTCTAAAGTTATGGGGGAGGGGTTGTTTTCAATGGAGATGAAGTTCTTTTGAAATCTATGAATAAGCATCAACCTGCCTCTTGGAGCCTAGATCCCAGCTGTCAAATAAGGAAAAAATTGATATAAAAACATAAAAGGGCTTAACAAGTGCTAGGAGAGCCTTCGCACAACTTCATGTTGTATGCCAGTTGTGCTGTTTCTTGAATAGTGAGGCCCTGTGCACAACCACTTATGCCCTAGTCACCTCCTGGCTGAATTACTGCAACACACTACCTGGGGCTACTCTTAATTCAGAGATGAGATCTGTCCATCCTCTTTCTGGCCCTCTGGAACAGCCTAAAATGTGGCTCTGCTGTTTAGCTTAGGGTCCCAAGAGGGGTGTGTTACATTGGGGGTGGCTGACAGTGAAGATGCTCACTCCCAGGCTGCTGATCTTCTTGGTTCTTTACTTTTAATCTTTTTATTCTGGGTTTTTTTTTTAGAACTTTTTACTTTTTATTATTTTGTAAGCCACCCAGAGTTGCTGAACTAGTGAGATAGGTGGTGTAGAAATTTAATAAACAAATAAATGCATGGACCTCTTCTTGTAAGAATCTATCACTTATAAACTTCTTTGGCAGTTCCCTGTTTCTTTAACTTTGGTTCAGTATAATTTGAATCCATTTCCACCCTCCCACAAACTATAGCAAAGGCATGTATACATACAAAAAGCATTAAAACATGCCTCCACAGATTATTATCTCATTGCCTGAAAGATGGGTGTTTGTGTGCATGTGTGTATATAATTTAAAGATGTTCCTAATTTTACCAGCAGCTTCATCCAATTCATCCTTTCACTTTTGTGGATTGACACACTGGACAAAATAATATGTGATATATTCAGTTTTGGCTTATTATGATAAGTTCTAAACTAAGTCTTAGTACAACATAGGAACCCAGTGAATATATGCATGATTTTATAAACTGAGTTCATAAATATGTGATACTGTACTTTAAGGGATTACAATAACATGCAGGTTCACACAACATGCAAAACTAAAGTCAGACAAACCATATTACAGTATGTTGTGCAAACCAGCTTAAATCTTAAGTCTTATATCTGACATCTCATCCACATCAAGGTCTCAAGGTGGCTCTGGGGGATAACCAAGGAATCACTCCATACCTATGTTGACAGACAGCTCTATAATACACCAAATACTTTGGATCTCCTTCTGACCTTCAGCCTGATATTTGTCAAGTGGTAAGTGCTTTTAGGTCGGAGGAGTTTATCTTCACTGCCAGTTTTTCACATGAAAGTGTGAATCTGAAGAAACTTAAATGAGCCATATCTATTTGCTGAAGATTTATTTGTTCAGTCTAACCAGCATGGCAGCAACGTTCCTTAACTTTAACAGTAAGGATCAGGGAATAATAGCACACGCCATGTTCCATTGTGGCAGCGCTAAGAGACCATTGTTCAGGATTCCATTTTCTTTCTCCCACATTTGCCATTTATCCTTTTTCCCAATAATTCTAGTTCTTCATTAGAAAGGATGGAAATGCCACTATGTTCTTCTTGGTGAAGGACATGTGACTACTGTAGGTTCAACTGCTTCTTCATTAAGTCTTGTATATTGAATAATTAAAGCCCTCTCAAACAAAGCATCCCAACAGATGCTGTTTATGTCTTCCAAGTAACAGCAAATACTGGCACTAACAATAACATACAAGGATCACAGCAGAAGAAAAAAGACCAAGATGAGTAGGTACAAAATCCTTTCCCAGAACAAGTCAGAGTTCTTTTTTGCATTATTCCTATTTTCTTTTACAGAGGGAAGTGATCAGACTGTGAGGACATTAGTAATGTTTTTTAACACTTAGATCAATTATGTTAGAAGTCATTACATGACTTAATAATGCTATTCAAAGAAAATATGTTGAAGCACATTCTGTGAAACATTGTATTTTCACATTTGCTTCATTTCCATTCCTAACACAGAGACTGCTATATAGTTGGATGTCAAGATCAGGTTGCACAACCCACTAAATCATAATATATTAAGGCCACATGTGATGTACAAACACAAGAAACATTTCAAGTTTTTAACAAAAGGCTGCACTCTGTCTTCTTCATCTCATCATCTAAGTAGTTTGCTTATTGTCAGTCTTCTCTTGATCTGGAAGGATAAGTAGAATATTCTACTTATCTTTCTATTTTTGTTTGTTGGTGGCAGTTAAGATCTTAACCTTCTAGAGGTCCCTGAGGATGCTAATTTTAATGTTTTATGAACAGTTGATACTTTTTCTTCTGTTTCTTGATAGACCTAGCAATGGTCACCTCAGTTTCTTGCTTAAAATATCAAGTTATACTAAACCAAAAATCCATCTAATCCAACACCTTCAGTTGCTCTATGAGGTGAGTGGTTTCTAAATGTAATAAAGAAACAAATAAATAAAATCCTGACTAGTAGCCAACACTGCCAAACTCCATTAACAGCAGTTGCCACAATAGTTACCACGAATCTTTATCATTAATAGCAACAGCACTTAGACTTATATATTGCTTCAAAGTGCTTTACAGCCCTCTCTAAGCGATTTACAGGATCAGCATACTGCCCCCAACAATCTGAGTCCTCATTTTACCGACCTCAGAAGGATGGAAGGCTGAGTCAATCTTGAGCCAGTAAGAATAGAACTGCCGAACTGCTAGAAATGTGCAGTCAGCAGAATTAGCCTGCAGTACTGAATTCTAACTACTGCACTACCACGGCAGGTATCTGGCATGTATATTCATATTCCCTTTGTACATGATGTTCTGTTTAGGAATCAAAGCAAGCAGGTAATGAAAATTTTGTTCTACATATGCAGAACCAAAGTCTCTGAAGTAAACAAATTTGTTTTTTGCTTACAGACAGATCTCGCCATAGTGCCTGGTTTTATCCTATTTTTCTGTTATTAATAAATGTCTAACAATGTAAGTAACAATACAACAATAATATTGAGGATGGCAGCAGAATCAATATATTGTTTTGTTAATTAATGTTGAGTAAAGTTTAATCTGTAGCATACTGAGTCAGAGTCATACTGTTTGGAGCAGCAAATAAGATTTAATAATAAATAAAATTATTTAAATGTGATAACTAAGAAAACTAAGAGTTTTCCCACCTGGACATGTAAAGAATTAGACAAGATGGAGCCAGGAAGACTGATTTGGCAAAGATATATTCTTTGTATATTCTTGCTTTTGACAATTTACACACTACTGTGTACTGTTGGAAAAAACCTCTTGTTCCAGTGACTACTCACCAATCTCCTGAAAACTGTGATGCAAATCAAAACTTTTTACCATTGATGTTGAGGTACCAATAGAATTCACAACAGCATTGGTTCTCAAATTTCATTTGCTATCAACATGAATTAAACTGTTCTTGTTCCAAATATATAAGTAAATAATGTATATATAACAATATATCATTTGAAGTTGTCCATATCTCTGTTTTGCCATAAATGTAGAGATTTAAACTATGAGGATTGTGTTAAAATCTGTTTAATAGATTTTTAAAGAATATTCTC